AGGGAGGGAGGGAGGGAGGGAGGGAGGGGAGCAGGGGAAGGCAGGCGACGGTCAGGGATCGATGTCTTCGCGCGCTTACCATCGATCCCACATGTCCTTTCAGGCGCATTCAGATACCCACTATATCCAAATACGAGCAACGTGGACGAAAGGGGTGGGAGAGAGAGAGGGACGAGAAGAGAAAGGAGAAGAAAGGAGGCCAGAAAGTCCCCTACCTGCGACGGATGTTTCTTCTTCGACGCGCGTAACTCGGCTTCCACCTGTATTTTTTTTAAACGCGAGGACAAGGCCGTGGTGAGGAACGGTCGACGTCTTGATCCCATCCACCCCTCCCTCCTTTTTCCCGTCGTTCCCAAAAGCCCTTTCTCCTTCCCTGCTTTCCTCTCTCGTCCTCTACCTGTTCTTTGGCCATGCGTCGGAACTTCCGGTGGGACGTGACCGAGTCGATCAGATCGTTCATGGGCTGGATGTATTGGGCGACGATTTGGTCCAGCTCCTGTGAGGAGGGGAGAGGGAGGGTCAGGGAAAACGCGGGCGAAAAGGAGGACAAGGGGAGCCACCGTACCTGATAAACCCTCCCTTGCACGGTCAATTTTTTCCCGACGGCGTCTCCGGCTTCCTTTTCCTCCTCTTTCACAGGAATGTGCAACACCAAATCCTCCAACGCCAGCCACGAAAGGGAAATAGAACCCGAACCGGAAGGCCGAAAAAGCCATTCCCCAACCTGAAGGAGGATAAAAAGGGGAGAGCGAGGCCATTCAGGGTTGATACACAGGCTCCATGGAATGGGAGGGGCTTGTCAAATGTCTCTATACCTTGCCCTGCTGCTTGAGCACTTTCTCTGCCTCCAGGTGATTGACCGTGCGCCACCGCTCGTCGTCCACCTTGCGCTGTCGACGCGACAAGCGGAGCTTGCCCTCCTTGGCCAGACGGACCTGAGCGATGGAGGGGACGAGGCAGGGAGATATCAGGCTAGAACTACCAAGACACACACCTATCCCGCTACCCCCCCCTTCCGCCCGATTTCCCCCCCTCCTATCTTCCTAGCTCCTCCACACCCTTTCCTCTAAAAGTCTTACCTTCTCTTCGATCTTCCTCCTCCGCTCTTCGTACTCTTTCAGGGCCCGCGCTTCGTCGAAGTGACGGTCCAAGGGAGGCAGCGAGGGGGGGCGAGGCCAGTCCCTGGCCGTCAGGTCTTCGGCAAGGCAGGAAATGCGGACGGAGATCCGGCTTTTCTCAATCTGAGGCAGGAGGGAGGGAGGGAGGGAGGGCCAGAGCCATCAGTAACCGCGTCCAAACCACTGAGCAGGGGCAGGGGTGGTGATGGGCTTCCAAATTCATCCGCTAACCGCCAAGACTCTCCACACCCCCCTCTAGTCTCTTTCTTCACTCCCTCTTTGTTTCCATCCGCTATTCGCCAAAATCCTCCACACCCCCCTCTCGTTTCTTCCTTCACTCCCTCTTTGTTTCCGCTGGTTCTGAGCTTACCTCCGTCACAACCCCTTCCACGGGTGTATCAACAGGCACCATTGCCTCGAAGTCCATGTCTCGCTGCATGTTCGGGTAGCGAGAGCTACGGAGGGGAGCGAAAGCAGGTGAGATCAGGGTATGAATATAAGTGTAGGAGTGTAAGATCCCCTACCACCAGTCTCCTCCGACAAGGCCGTCCCCCAACCCCGCGGATGACGCACCGGTGCAAGTAGCCAGTCACTACACATTGGTCCAGGCGGACGCGCGCCGCGTTCTCGTCCACCTTCCAGACGCGACCCGTCACCGGCATGCCCGATCGGAGCGTCGCATCAGTCTCTCCAGAGACAAGCTCAAACAGCTTGTCTGCCGAGGGGGTCAATGAAGACAGGGAGGAGAAAGAAAAGAAGAGGGTTATCGGACGATGTGGGAGGGGGATGGACCGATAAGCATCCTTTTATGAGGCATCTGAAAAAGTTTATCCTTGCAAACTCACGTCACCATCCTCTTTCATGCCCCATTCTCCTCACCTTCGCTTATGCCCCTGAAGGGCGCTCTGGGATCGCGGAACGGAAACCTCAGCTCCTGTTTGATCTGGTCCATTTGCTGATAGTGTTTTCCATTTCCCGTGTTCTGCAAAGGCGATGCGGCGCGTGAATTTGAGGACAATGAGTTAGTTGCCATCTAACCGTCTGACAGTGTGAAACACTGCCAGTCACATGATGTTCCGCGAAAAGAGCATCGCGTGACGCAGGATTACCACACATGCCATTGAGCTCCCACTAACGCGATGCACCTGAGAAGGTGCATGCCATGTGATAAAAGAAGACAATGGACACACGGCAATACAACTTACCTCCAGGTAATTCGCAAACTCCTCCAAATTGAGACTCGCAAGCTCGTCCGGGATCTCCGCGACGAGGAGGCGGTCGATGGGCCGTCCTTGTTCCGAGGGAGGGCAGAGGGTGGCGAGGAGGATTTTGAATGAATCCTGAGGCGAGGAGAGGAAGGAAGAGGCAAAGGCGGCAGAAGGTGAGCTTATGCGGACCAGGTGATGTTCCATGAACGTATGGCATGCAAAGTAACCTCTCCTGGCTCACATCTACCCTTTGCTTCGTGCCACCCCTGAGACTCTTTACTTCTACCCATCCTTTGCCCTCCTTTGATCCCTCCCTCCGCCCCTACCTGCATAACCAAGCGAACAAGTTCGTTGATGCCCATGGTTGGGTCTGCCTGCTCCATGGCGTCTCGAATCACTTTCCCCACCCATTCATGCGTTAGGTAGCATTCCGGGTGAATGCGTGTATTATCCAGGAGATTTACCTTCAAAAAGTGAACAAAAGGTTTGGCAAGGGGAGAAAATGAAGTGAACATGACTATAAATAGGCGGAAAATTGGAACACTCAATTGATAGAACGGGGGAAAGGGAGGGAAAGAGGCATGGCAATCACAGGTGTAGCATTCTCGTGTGTCAGAAAACGTCCCTGTCGCCCCAGCCGACCACTGCTTCATATCCTCCCCCGACTCACCTTCCGTTCCCCTCGGCCCTCCCCGCGCCCTTTCTTCTTCCTCCCTCTCCTTCGACTGCCTTCTTCTTCATACAGATCCATGGCGTCCTCCTCTTCCACCCCATCCTCTCCCATCAAATGAGGGACCCGGATGCGAAGGAAACCCGCGGCGTTCTCGTACACCTGTGACAGGAGGGAGGGAAGGAGGGAGGGAGGGAGGGAGAAAAGAAAGGGAACGAGATGAGGAAAGATAAATGTGCAAATAGGACACCAAAAACATGCCTCACTGCCCGCAACTGCCGCATTTTTCCCTCCCTATCCCTCCCTCCCTCTATCCCTCCCTCCCTCTATCCCTCCCTCCCTTTCTCCTATCCTCCTCTTTGACCCACCTTGGGCGTGAGTAGTCCTTCCTCGATCAGCTGGGCTCGAGATACCACGAGGCTCCCGTGAGTGTTTCGAATGGCGGCACGCAAGGCGTTGGCCTGTGATCGGTGGGAAAGGAAAGCCACGCGAGGCAGATGGATCATCCGTGAGAAAGTGGTCTTGCCCATTCCTATTAGCCCCTGTACAACTCCTCCCTTTTCCCCCTCTGCTACCTTGCGAAAACCCAGCCCCGAAACGAAAGGGAGCAGACCGGCTAAGTGAAGGCTCGAGATGCTTTTGTTCAAGTCCACCCCCACGTCGTTGACCGCGTCGACCAGCACCTCTTCCCACCGCCGAGACAGCTCATGAGGGTTCACTTGGTCCTGGGAAAGAAAAACAGGGAGGGAGGGGGGGAGAGTAGGAGGGAGGGAGTAGGGAAGTGAGAAGGATCAAAAGGTGTGGCTCCGCTCGTTTCATATCTGGGGAAAACACATAAGCATTTCAACAGAAAATGAGAGGCCTCATTCGGCTCCAACACCTTTGGAAGTCCATCCTGGGGCACGTAGCATGCAAGGTTCACATTGGATGTATCTCGGAAGACGGCCCGAGAGAAGGAAAATTTGAAACAGGTATGAAAGGAGGGAAGGGATAGACGAGGGGAAAGTGCTTACCTGGAGGTCATGCAGAGAGAGATACGAAAGCTGGTACCCAGGACCGCCGAAACGCCCTCCCCTAGGATCTTGGGCAGCGTATATGAGAGTGACCAGAGCAAGCGGGTCCTGGAGTGGGTAAAAGAAGGGAGACAAGCAGGTGAATGGGGGTAGATACGAAGGGAAGGGGGGAGCAGGGATACGGACCTGCATTTGTCGCGCCATGCCGATGGCGATTCGCAAGTTATCGTGGTAATCTGTGAATTCTTTCTTGACGCGAGGAGAGCGGGCATAAACACTGGCAAGATGATCGTCTAGGCGTGGGGGGAACCGGGGGGGAAACCGAGGGGAGAATGATAAAGTAAGTGCGTGCATAACAAGGGGTTCCAAAAGTACCATTGAGGATCGACCGCATTGCATACACTGCATGAAAAAAGCTGGAGATTTACACAGGAAAACGATTGGAAAGTACCAGAACAAGGAAGAGAGGGGAGTGAAGTCGAGAAACGCACCAATCAGGAGGACCTCGCAGGGTTCCCACCCTTCTTCATCCTCGGCAGCTAGCTCTCCATGTTGGTACAAGCGAGCCACGTTGTCGACCACCTTGGCTGTGGTTGAGAAAGACAGAACAAAGAAGGAGGGGGTGGGGATGTGAGGAAACAGAGTGGACATGGGCGTCGATTGCGGGTCCACGAACAAGACATCGCACTCTCTACCCCGCCCCTCAATCCTCTGCTTCCACCATGTCGCCGCCTCTTACCGAGACGCTCTTTCATCCGCAAAGCTTCATAGCCGCCCACCACGGCATTTACCACCACAACAGCCGGCTTGGCCTCTACTATGATCTTCTGGAGTTTATCTCGCTGCCCAGCCAGAGAGGGAAAGGAGTAGGATGGGGGATAACGAGAAAGGGAAAGCCGGCGGCAAGGGTAATCAGGAAATGACGGGATAGCACCAGAAAGGACTAATTCTAACACTTAAAAGCCAAGGCCCGGAGCGAGGGAGGCAAAAAAGGGGCCGGTTACCTGGTCAGCGTCGCCGTCGTAGCCAGACCGCAGAGGAGGGAGCATGACATAGTCCCGCACTGCCCCGTCTCTCCCCACGGAGACAGCGAAGGACGCCTCTTGGCGCGAGGACGCCTGGAAGACGGCCACCACTTCCAGAGACGAGGAGGACAAAGGCGTCAGCTCGAAAGGAAATCGTTGGGAGAGCCTGGAGCAGTACGAAGGGAAGGGGAAGGTGAAGGGAAAGGGATGAAAGGAGAGTGGATTTACACTGTCCTAGACGACGTCGATTTCATGCAACCTCCTACCCGTCCGCTTTGATCCCCTGCTTCCCTTCCCCAATACCCCCTCCTCCAATATCCCCACTTCCTTCCCAGCCTCCTGGCCTACCGAAGCTGAAAATCCTCGAATGGTGGGATGAGAGCGCAATTGATATTCCTATATTGAGGCATGTAGGTGCCTGAGGGAGGGAGGGAGGGAGGGGAAACGGACGGGAAAGGATGAGGAGAGCTTCCAGTGTGCAACCAAAACAGGGTGGAGAAAAGGCGGTGGCTGGAAAAGTGGGGCATGGGAAGGAAAGTTATGGCAAACACACACACCTGTATTGACTACTTCCCGCAAAGCATCTGCCGCAGCAGCAACGACAGCTTCTTGAGCTTTTCGCGCCATTTCCCGCTTCACTTCCGCCTCCAACATGGGCAAGATGTGGGAAGAAAGGGTAAGCGAGAGAATATCCTTTCGCTGCTCGTTCCAGGCGTCCACAAGGCTGGTGTCGAGAGAGGCCGTTCGGTAAGGCATATAGAGTCCCTCCAAGGTTTGGAGAAGACTAGGCCAGGCCGAGCTCCCATTCGGGGTCCAGCTGAAGGGAGAGAGAAATCAAAAGGGAGGAGGGTGAAAGGATGGAAAGGATGTCGATCCGTGATGTAACGCCTCTGAGGTCTTTGGGAACCATGCCGACGTTGGCAGGATCGAAGGGAGGAAAGAGGTGGCGGGCGTACGGAGAAAGAGAGGGACAGAGGGAAAATGAGGTAGCTGAATATGTGTACACACCTGGTCGATTCAGCGGCCGTATTGGCAGGAGCGTCGATGGTGAAAGTGATAAAACCTTCCCGCTCAGCTTGCATGATCCTGAGGAAGAGGTCGGGCTGGGAGTCGCTCTGTGGCGGGGAAAGGGGGGCAGAAGAGACAGGGAGTGAGGCGTTTAAGAAGCTTCGGAGGCTCTCCTACTTGCAAGGTGGTGGAGAGGGAGGCCGCAAGCTCTAAGACGAGATCGAACAGGTGTCAAGGCACCCTCATAGCACAGCGGGAGACAGGCAACGACACGGGAGTAAGGGAGCCAAGAAAGGGATGGAGGACGACAAGGAGGGAGAAGAGGGCAGAGGGATGGACAGAAAGCTGTACCGGGGGTTGCAAGAATTCGTAGAGGGGCTTCTTGTTGATGAATTGGAAGCCATGGAGCCGGTGGAACTGATCCGTGATTTCATTGTGGCCCTTGAGAGTGGGATGCGTAGTCAAAGTCGCCTCGGCGCGGTAAATCTGGATTTTTGAAGTATCAATACGCGGAAGAAAGGATGGAAAGGAGACATGACAGGGTGAGACAATCGAAAATGCCGTCGATATTTTGTCGAAGAAGAGAAAGACGAGCACTGGAAATTTTACGCCATCAAGATATGCGAGTTTTGGAACTGGAAAGCCAAATCCTTTCCTTCCTCCCAAGCTTCCCTCCCTTGTTCCTACCGTCCTTTGGCCCCCCTTCTCACCTGTCGGAAGCACGCGCGGAGGCGAGGCTCGTGGGCAAGCTCCATGGCCAGCATGTGCTTGGCAGCCCGAAGGACTTCTTCGTACCTGAAGAGAGTTGGATTGAAAGGGAGAAAGGATAAAATGATCAGACATGTAATCAAGGTAGAGGGAGAGATAAAGATAAAAGCAGGCGAATTTAAATAATCAGACGAATGCGCGGTTCTGATGTGAGCAGATGCCACGGGGTAAATCGGAAGTCTACGCAGCACTCGTGGCCCTCTGTCCAGTCATCCGCGCCTATTGTGATGTTCTTCAAAAACATGAAGACTTCCCTCCCTCCTTCCCTCCCTCCTTCCCTCCCTCCCTCCCTCCCTCCCTCCTTACTTAGGCAGACTTGGGGTCGTGTATTCGGCGGCGGCGTTCTCGGGATACATGTTCGGGGTGGGAATTAAGGGGCGGTGCTGTTCGTCCAAATCCCCTCCACTCGTGCTACTTGCGTGCAAAGCTGCGCCAAGCTGTACAAATCGAGATATTCAGAAAACATCAGAAAGGCCTCAAAAATGCATGAAATATACACACGACGTACATTCTCCTTCTCTCTCATACCCTGCCCTTCCATTTTACCCTCTCTTCCCCTCCCTCCCACCCAAACCCTACCTCCGGTGCCGGGCAACTGAAAAGGGACGCAAATCGGCGCAAACCCTTCAAGGAGCGGCATTTCCGGTAGAGATCAAATGCAAGTCGATGAGCCCGTCGGCTGGTTTCCTGGCCAATTACACCCAAGTACTCCTGCAGATAAATCGTGCCAAAGGGACGAGGGGGAGCAAGGGAGCGAGGGAGGGTGCGCGCGGGAGGATACAGGGAAAAGGGAAGACAGAAGGCAGGAAAAAAACTTAGGCAGGTCTCCAATCCCTTCTGACTAAGTCCCCTGGAGAGATGACTCTCCCGGTCCACCCCGCCTGCAGCCTCCCTCTCCACTTACGTGCAGGTCTCGGACCCCTTCCTCCTCCCGGGAGGCATCTAGCATCGTCCGGTAGCTGTCTGGGCACAGGCGACGCAGCTCCTCTTCCTCCTCCTCCTCCACCGGCTCCAATTCTTCCCACTGCCCGTTACTTTCTCTCTTCTCCTTTTCCCTCTCTGCGGCCTCCTGGGCGGGCACAGAAAAGGGTCCGGGAGGGAGAGGGAGGAGAAATCGGCACGGGCGGAATCACAAGGGGACAAGCAATGTGCTGCTACTTAGTCTCTATTTAAGCGCAAAATCACTTATCAAGGCGACGATGTGCCCCTTGCGGACAAGAGATGGCCGCAGAGAAAGACAGTGAAGAGAGTGGGCAGGGGCAAGGAGAAGACGCTTGAACGAGAGGAAGGGCTATCAACTCACCATCTCAGCCTCTAGAGCAGCAAGATCCTTCAAGGCAGCCTCCTTTTGGTCAGTGAAAGAGGCCAGGGCTTCTTTCGCCTGGGGAAGGGAGGCACTTTCTTCCGCAAACTCGTCTTCTTCCTGAGCAAACCAGGAAAATGGGAGCAAGGAGGGGAGGGAGGTGCCCCAAAGAAGACAAGACATGGATCAGCAAGGTAATTGAATCCCCACGAGAAAGCCGGGGGAAAGGGGCAATCGCTGACATAGACACTTTCCAAAAATGCGCGAACTTGCCTCGTCGTCGCCTCCAATCATCCGGGTATCTTCTTTCTCCTGCAAGGTTTTCACCTTCTCCTTCCACTCCTCCACGCCTGCCTCGGCCTCTTTCAACCGTGCCTCCACCTCCTGAAGGGCGGCTATTCGCGCCTCTTGGTCCATTGCCTTGCGGGAGGAATAACTGTGGAAGGACGACGGATGGGAAAGTGACAAGGCGGGGGAAAGAAAGGGTGCCGTGAACAAGACATGGATGACATGATGGAAGAAGTTTAGGAAGGAGGGAAGGAAAAATAGGGGGAATAGACAAAAGACACCGGCACAAAAGAGTGGGGGAGAAAAGGAGGGAGGAAAGGAGGGAGGAGGTACCCGTGATGTCCGGCTGAAAAACGTTCGAAGCGTGCCAAAGCGAAGGATTTGCGTCGTTGAAGTTCTTCCCATTTATCGTCGAGTCTGGAACGTAATGGATTGGCAAAGAGACAAAGAGGAAAGAAAGATCAAAATTTTGCATGGATGGATAGGAAGGCATAGAAGCAGGGAGGGAGGGAGGGAGGGAGCATCTTACCGGGTAATCGACCAGAGATGGGC